CTCATGAGATGGCCAAAGTACTGGAGCCTCAGCTTCAGGATCTGTCCTTCCAATGAGCACTCGGGGTTGATTTCCTTTAGAATTGATAGGTTTGTTCTCTTTGCAGTCCAGGGAAGTTTTTAAAAAAGGGCCAGAAAGGAGTTTGGGAGTGAACAATAGGGAAAAGAGGAAAGAAAGAAGGTCGTCACTGGGGCACAAAGACACCACATTTTACACCATTTCAGCAACCAGACCCCCTTGTAGAAAGGTTTCTGAATTTAAAACAAAAGAAAGGTTTCTGAATTTTAAACCCACACATTTTAAAACAAAAGAGAGGTCACAGTACGCAAACACTAGGAGCCACAGAGTGCTAAAATAAATAAATAAATCCAGCAACATTTTAAACCCACACTGCAAGACCCATTAGAGCACAGAAACATAACCCCCGCACCAAATCCAAACCCACACTTCAAAAATCTTGTATAGTACATATAGTACTCACCCAGAACAGGCAATCTTTCTGTTTTAAAAAAGAAAGTAAAAAAAAAAATCAAAAATAAAGGAAGCAAAGCCAAAAAAATACAGTATAGTACAGTACCAGGCAGTCTGAAGTCTCTCCAGACCCACACTCTCTAACCGCTGGGATGAACAAGGTACAGAGAAGCAGCCTCTTCGCTGACCAGTGGTTAACTGAAAGCAGTTCAAACTTCCTGCTTTCCCCACCTTCCCCCTCCTTTTTTTTCTAGTCGTAAATGGAAGCTCCGGTCGCAGGTCGAAGCAAAATTTTGCTGCTGGAGCTGGTCATAACTCAAAATGGTCATAAGTTGAGACACCACTTTAGATGCTTGCTATCCACTGGAGGAAGAGGGGTGTGGCTTCTTTTAGGCTCCTATTTTTCTTACATAAGATAAGAGACTAGCTTATTGGAGGCTCCTGGATTGGAGTGTTTATGCTGGATCTCCTCCTCTGTGTTCAAGGACATCATTCCCAGAAAAAGGAGTAGTGAGTTTGGGAGTGAACAATAGGGAAAAGAGGAAAGAAAGAAGGTCGTCACTGGGGCACACAGACCCCACATTTTACACCATTTCAGCAACCAGACCCCCTTGTAGAAAGGTTTCTGAATTTAAAACAAAAGAAAGGTTTCTGAATTTTAAACCCACACATTTTAAAACAAAAGAGAGGTCACAGTACGCAAACACTAGGAGCCACAGAGTGCTAAAATAAATAAATAAATCCAGCAACATTTTAAACCCACACTGCAAGACCCATTAGAGCACAGAAACATAACCCCCGCACCAAATCCAAACCCACACTTCAAAAATCTTGTATAGTACATATAGTACTCACCCAGAACAGGCAATCTTTCTGTTTTAAAAAAGAAAGTAAAAAAAAAAATCAAAAATAAAGGAAGCAAAGCCAAAAAAATACAGTATAGTACAGTACCAGGCAGTCTGAAGTCTCTCCGAACCCACACTCTCTAACCGCTGGGATGAACAAGGTACAGAGAAGCAGCCTCTTCGCTGACCAATGGTTAACTAACGCAATAAAACCATATAAAATTAAGAAAAAAGCAGTCAACCCTCGATTTATGAACGGCCCTAGTTACAAACATTTCAAGTTACAAACCGCTCTGATAGGAAAAGTTCGCCTCAACGAGAAGTTTGTTTCAAGTTACGAATGGAAAGGTCGACTGCAGTGGCCCATGAACGGGCCATTTTGGCTGGTTTGCTGGCTGGTGGAGAGTTAAGGAATTAGTCTTCCCCGGCGGCCTCACTCTTGTTGTTTCAGGCTGAGATGACGGGGTGAGGGGACGTATGGGGAGCGCAGCGGTTGTTGTGATCAGTGTGCACGGGGGCGGGGAATTGTCTCTGTGTTTGGTCGTCTGGGAAGGAGAGAACAGGCGGAGGTGGAACCGGCTGGTGGAGGGAGGGAGGAAGAAGAGGAGCCTTGCAGGTGGCCCTCGGGGTCTCCCTTCCATCTCCTCCTATTCGCCCCACCCTAAAAAGCTGCAAAGAACCAAGGTGGGCAGCACCTCTCCCGCCCCTTCTCTCCTCTGCCGGGAGCTGGCAGCATGCCATGTGAGAGGCTTGGTTGGCCGGGAAGGAGAGAACGGGCGGAGGTGGAACCGAAGTAGCTGGTTCGCTGGCTGGTGGATGGAGGGAGGAAGAGGAGGAGGCTTGCGGGTCACCCTCGGGGTTAAGGAAAGAGTCTCCCCTTCCATCTCCTCCTATTCGCTCCACACTAAAAAGCTGCAAAGAACCGAGGCAGGCAGCGCCTCTCCTGCCCCTTCTCTCCTCTCCCGGGAGCTGGGAGCGCGCCATGTGGATCCAAGTCCGCACCATCAAACCCAGACCATCTGGCAGTGCCTTTTCTACCAGGCAAGCAGGCAAGCTGAACTTTCTTATTCTGAACTGAAATCAGTGGAATCTAGCCTCTCTCCCCCCCTCCCCCGGCTGGCGGTTTGCATTGCCTCGGCTTCCACCTGCTCCTCCACATCGCCTCCCACATCTTCCTTTCGGCTTTTGTTTAACTCCTCCCTTACCTGCGGAGAGAGAGACAGAAACGGGCAGAGGATGCCTTTTGTGCCTAGGGAGATGGTGGCGGTGGTGCAGTTTTAGCCTCTCTCCCGGCTTCTCCCAGCTGGCAGTTTGCATTGCCTCGGCTTACAAACCACCCCTAGACCTAAGAACCAAAAACAGCCAGAATGGATTCATTGGTTTTCAATGCATTCCTATAGGAAATTTTCTTTCGACTTACAAACTTTTCGGCTTACGAACGTCCTTCCAGAACTAATTAAGTTTGTAAGTCGAGGGTTGACTGTAAAATAAAATCACCGCTGCTTAGCCACGAGCGTGCTGCCTGGAAGAGCTGGGACTGGAAGTCCCTCTGTAACCCAACTGTGTATCCATCTGACATTCTAGCCAGTTCATATTTTGTTTATTAATCAGGATATAATGGGGCACTTTGTCAAAAGCTTTCCTGAGGTCAAGATGAATTACATCCACACTATTCTTGCCGTCTACTTTTAAAATGTTTCTTAAAGTAGAAGTTGAGTACTTCCTTTGTCATCTGTTTTCATTTTTTCATTCCCACTAATTAACTAAGCAACTTATTTCCTTTTCTCTGCCTTTTGTTTTGCTGTACTAAAGAATGATTTCTTGTTGTTTTTAGAGTCTCTTCATAACCTCAGTGCATTCCCTGCATTTATTTTTCCCACCTTGCTCTACTCTTCCTTTGTGGTCTGGTCTTTGCACTTCTTATAAGTGCCTTCTATGTTTTAAGGTCCTCTCTGACCTTTTTCTGCAGCAACCTTGCCTTTTTTTCAGTCTTACACTTTTCTGTTGGAATTATTTGTAGTTGTGACTTTAGAATAGACATTTCCACCCATCTTGGATTCTTTTGTTAGGCTCTCTGTTAGTATGAGATCTTACTTATTACTGTTGTAAGCTTATTAGAATTAGTTTTCCTAAAATCTATCCTCCTTGTGTGGTTTACACTCACCTTTAGTTCCCTTCAAAATCAAACATTCCAAGACAGAATGATCACACTTTTTGCCAAAGTTTCCCTTACTGTTACTTCATCCAGTAAAATCCACAAGCTAGAAACAATCCAAAGATAGCTAATAGTTTCTCCCTCCACTTTGTGTAGGAGGAAATTATCAGCAACACAAGCCAGAAGCTTTTTAGAAGTCCATGTTTGGCAGAATGTGGCACCCCAAAGATATCTGGGTCACTGATTGCAAATTACATCATGTATCTTCAAAAATTCTTAGTTTTTTTAAGTTTCACCTGCATCTTCTTAATTGGGCAGTTCGCGTTAGACTCCAACAATCACAGTCCTTTCATTTTTAACCTGTTATTTTAATGCTCTTGATGCAACTGAGAAGCTCATGCTCCTGCATTTCTCTGTGGGAATATGTATTTTTTGATGTATCATATTTTTGTATTAAAGGATCTTTCTCTTTTTCTCTGTCTTGAAAGGTGACCACAATCTGGCTGTGCAACATTGTAAGGAGCCATCTGTTCCATTGTTGAAAATAACTCCCACTGAGAAGACACCATGTAATTGCATAGAATGTGGAAAGAACTTCACTGATAGTACCAGCCTTAGTTTACATAGAAGGCCATACAGAGGAGATAAACCACATAAATGCATGGAATGTGGGAAGAGTTTCAGTCGGAGCAGTCCACTTAGTTTACATCAAAGAACTCACACAGGCGAAAAACCATATAAATGCATGGAATGTGGAAAGAGCTTCAGTAGGAGGGATCACCTGAATTTACATCAAAGAACTCACACAGGAGAGAAACCGTATAAGTGCATGGAATGTGGAAAGACCTTCAGACAGAGTGGTAACTTTAGGTCGCATCAAAGAATTCACACTGGGGAAAAACCGTATAAATGCATGGAATGTGGAAAGAGCTTCAGTTCCAGCAGTAAACTAAATTCACATGAAAGAACTCACACAGGTGAGAAGCCGTATAAATGCATGGAATGTGGAAAGTATTTTATTGACAGTACCAGCCTTAGTTTACATAAAAAAACACACACAGCTGAGAAACCACATAAATGCCTGGAATGTGGGAAGAATTTCAGGAACAGAAGTAACCTTCATTCTCATCAAAAATCCCACACTGGGGAGAAACCATATGAATGCATGGAATGTGGGAAGAGCTTTAGTCGAAGCAGTCAGCTTCGTTCACATCAAAGAACTCACACTGGGGAGAAACCGTATAAATGCATGGAATGTGGGAAGAGCTTCAGACAGAGTGGTAACCTTAGGTCACATCAAAGAATTCACACTGGGGATAAACCGTATAAATGCATGGAATGTGGAAAGAGCTTCAGTTCCAGCAGCCAACTGAATTCACATCAGAGAACTCATACAGGGGAGAAACCGTATAAATGCATGGAATGTGGAAAGAGCTTCATTGACAGTACCAACCTTAATTTACATCAGAGAACTCACACAGTTGAGAAACCACATAAATGCCTGGAATGTGGGAAGAGTTTCAGGAACAGAGGTAACCTTCGTTCTCATAAAAAAACTCACACTGGGGAGAAACCATATGAATGCATGGAATGTAGAAAGAGCTTCAGTCGGAGCAGTCACCTTAGTTTACATCAAAGAATTCACACTGGGGAGAAACCGTATAAATGCATGAAATGTGGAAAGAGCTTCAATTACAGCAGTAAACTAAATTCACATCAAAGAACTCACTCAGGTGAGAAACCGTATAAATGCATGGAATGTGGAAAGAACTTCATTGATATTTACAGCCTTAATTTGCATAAAAGAATTCACACAGGGGAGAAACCATATAAATGCATGGAGTGTGGAAAAGCATTCATTCGGAGCAGTCCACTTAGTTTACATCAAAGAACTCACACAGGAGAGAAACCATATAAATGCATGGACTGTGGAAAGAGCTTTAGTTCCAGCAGTAAACTAAATTTACATCAAAATACTCACACAGGAGAGAAACCACATAAGTGCATGGAATGTGGAAAGAGCTTCAATAGGAGGGATCTCCTGAATTCACATCAAAGAACTCACACAGGTGAGCAACCACATAAATGCATGGAATGTGGAAAGAGCTTCAGTTCCAACAGTAAACTAAATTTACATCAAAGAACTCACACAGGTGAACAACCACATAAATGCATGGAATGTGGGAAGAGTTTCAGGCACAGCAGTAACCTTCGTTACCATCAAAGAACTCACACGGGTGAGAAACCGTATGAATGTTTGGAATGTGGAAAGAGCTTCAGATTGAGCAGTCATCTTACTTCACATCAAAGAATTCACACAGGGGAGAAACCATATAAATGCATGGAATGTGGAAAGAGCTTCCGACAGAGCAGTATCCTTAGGTCACATCAGAGAACTCAACATGGGGAGAAACCATATGAATGTATGGAATGTGGAAAGCGCTTCAGTGGCATCTGTAGCCTTAATTCACATAAAAGAACTCACGCAGAGGAGAAATTATATAAATGCATGGAATGGTTGTAATTCCCATCTTCGTATACATGAAAGAATGTATGTTGTGGAGAACCTGTAAAAATGTGGAAAGAGCTTCTGTCAGAAATTTAACCTTAGTTCACATCAAAGAATGCATTCAGGGGGGAAATCATATGACTGCATCTCGTGCGCAATAGTTTTCAATCGGATCAGTCACCTTAGTATACATCAAAGAACGCACACAGGGTAGAAACAGCAGCAGATTTATTGACTATGTGCTAACAAGAGGAAAAAAGAAAGTTCCAAATCAGAAATCAATGCAGTCTGGAAAATAGGACAATAAAAGAAAAAGAAGAATAAAGACAATGGAAAAAGAAGACTTCTGCAAGAGGTCCTGACTAAGGTGGAGGGGAACAGAATTGATTTCTATTTTGGTTTATGTTTTTTATGTTGTATTTATAATAGTTTAAAAAAAGACAGAAATGTTTGACCATTTCAAAGGATGAGTGCACTTTGTAGAAAGACGTTATAGCCAAAGAGTGGGCCAGTTGCAGACAGACAGAGGGCCTGAGTTCATGTCTGGAAGGTTCCACACATGTCTGACAAAGATAGGGATATATCATAGAAAAACAAGTCCCTATTCTCCATTTCAGAATGGTGTGGCAGAATGCAGGAATGGAGTCCTGCAGACCATGAAATACACCCTATTAGCAGATGCTGACATGAGTAATTCGTTTTGGGGAAAGGCAAGTCAGACGGTTAACTATATAATTAATCAAATTTGCTCTTCTGCCATAGAATAGACCCCATATTACATGTTATATTGCAAAGATCCTTCGCTGGAACATATGAGAGTGTTTGGATGCAGTTCCTGGGTGCACATTCCAAAGGAAACAAGGAGAAAAGGAAGGCCAAAAGCCAAGAAAATTAGGTTTCTGGGATATGAAAAGGTCTAAAGCAGTGGTCCCCAACCTTTTTGGAACTGCAAACTGATTAGGAGGATGGACTCCATGCATGGGGAGGGCAGGGCCACCCAGTGGTCACAGGGTGGGTGTGTTGTACTTGAGTGTGTCGCACATGCACGTGAGCATGACACACCCCTCTGCAAGCATGACACACCCCTCTGCAAGCATGACACGCCCCATGAGCACGATGCCCCCCTGTGAGCGCAACATGCCCCCTGTGCATGCAGGGGGCAGAGATCGGTTTCTGTGGTCCAGTCCTTGGAAGCCCATGGACCAGCACTGGGCTGCGGACTGGTGGTTGGGGGACCCTGGTCTAAAACATACAGATTCTTAGATGAAATAAAAATGTGGTTATTTCCAGATCAGCTGCAAACTGCCTGGACTTGGACAAAACTGCAAATTTACTCCAACATTGCTGGAGCAGGTCCTGGTTTCCCAGCCTCAGGACTTTCTGGATGGGACAGATTATTTAGATGTATTTGAATCTGGTTTCTGGCCTGGTTATGGGACAGAGACTGCTTATGTCGCCATGGTGGATAATCTATTCTGGGAGTTGAACAAGGGAAATGTTTCTGTTGGTTCTTTGTGGTCTCTTTGAATGCACACTAATGGGTTTTAGTGCGCTTAGGTGTGTGTGTGTGGGGGGTCAGTATTACCAGTATGCAGGTGACACCCAACTCTATCTCTCCATGACACCTAAATCCAAGGAAGCTGTTTCAGCTCTAGATCAGTGTCGGAAATCAGTAATGGAGTGGTTGAGCGTGAATAAACTGAAACCTAATCAGGACAGAGATGCTTCTGGTCAGTGGAAATGCATGTCAAGGAAGCAGGAATGCAGCCTGTGCTGGATGGGGTTGCTCTTTGTGTGAAAACTCGGTTGTGCAGCTTGGGGGTGCTCTGGATTTGTCTCCGAGTTGAGGTGCCAAGGATTTGGTAGTGGCCAGGAGTGCAGCTTCACAATTAAAACTAGTGTACAGTGGAGTCTCGACTTACGTTCGGCTCCACTTATGAACTTTTCAACCAACGGACTTCTCCGGCTGCAAAGTTTCACTTTAACTTGTGGCCGGAGAATTGACCTATGGACCAGAAGGGAGAGGCGGGGAAAGCGCCAAATTCAAATTTGGCACTTTTCCCACCTCCCCCCTTCCAGTCTGTAGGCTGCAGGCCTAAGCCCCAAAAGCCCAAAGCTGACAGCGGGCGAAGGGCGGCTTTCGGCTTTCCGGCTTTATTTATTTATTTATTTACTTACTTACTTACTTATTTACTTATTTACTTATTTATTTATTTAACATCCCACCTATCTAGTCAGTTGAGACTACTCTAGGCTTACAACAAAAATACACAATATACATAAAACCGATTTTTACATAACGCAGAACTTACAACAAAGTGGAATAGACAATAGGGGAGAGGAAAGGAAAGGGAAATCAGGAATTGGTTGGGGGGGAAGGCCTGCTGAAACATCCATGTTTTTAGTTGATTCTTAAAAATACCCAGCGAGGGAGCCGCACGAATACCAGGGGGTAGATTATTCCAGAGGTGAGGAGCCACCGCCGAGAAGGCCCGATTTCTTGTCTTTTCCTTCTGGGCCTCCCTTGGCGTTAGGCTCCTCAGCCTCACCTCCTGGCTCGCGCGAGTGACACGGGTAGATCTTGGTGTGAGTAGGCATTCCGCCAAGTATTGAGGACCTAAACCGTTTACGGCTTTATACGTGAGCATCAATACTTTGAAGTCGATGCGGAAACAGATGGGCAGTCAATGCAGTGTGGCCAGGGTGGGTGAGATGTGTTGATATTTTTTCACTCCACTAAGAAGTCTGGCCGCAGCATTCTGCACCATCTGAAGTTTCCACAACAGCCTCAAAGGCAGCCCCACGTAGAGCACATTACAGTGGTCTAATCTTGAGATTATGAGCGCATGCACCAATGTAGTGAGCGCCCCAACGTTGCGCCAAAGGTGCGAATGGGGGGAGGTGGGGAAAGTCGAAAGCCACGCTTTGGGCTTAGAAAGCTGGACCCACTGGCCTCTTGTTTCCTGTCCTTGGTGCCCAGAGGGCACTG